TCCCTAATGATCAGTGATTGTATTAGTCAGTCAGACTGCTGTAACAAATATCATAGACTGGGTGGCCTAAACAATAGGAGGCTGGGAAGTCCCAAGATCAAAATTCTAACCAATTTTGTTCCTGGTTAGAGTTGTCTTCCCGGCTTGTAGATGGCTGCCTTATCACTGTGTCCTCACGTGGAGGAGAGAGAGAGATCTTTCTCTCTTTCTCTTCTTCTAAAGCCACTAATCTTATTGGATTAGGGCCTTATCCGATGACCTTATTTAACCTCACTGCCTCCTAAAGCCCTATCTCCAAATAGTCACAGGAACTTTGGAGGGACACAATTTGGTCTATAGTAGTGATGTTGATCATCTTCTCATGTCTTAGCCATTTGTATAGTCACATGTTGCATAACAATCTTTTGCTCAATGATGGACTGCATGGATGGTGGTGGTCCCATCCTATATAATAAAGATGTAATATGCAAATGGTCATTACGCATAACGACTGGATCATGGATCAGCAGGAGGGTGGGGCAGCGAGCTACAAGCGGGTGGCAGAGAGCTACAGGAGGGAGCAGGGCAGCAAGCTATGAGGGGTGGTGGGGGTGGGGGTGGGAGGAGCTACAGGAGGGTGGGGTAGTGGGCAGAGAGCTACTGGAGGGCGGCAGCAAGCTACTGGCAAACTACTGGAGCAAGGATTCATGTGCAGGGCTACTAGTAAGATTATAATGGGAGCTGAAAATTTTCTCTCACCTAGTAATATCATAGCACAACCCATTACTCACGTGTCTGTGATGATGCTGGTGTAAATAAACTTACCGCACTGAGTCGTATAAAAGTATAGCACATACAATACGTAGAGTACATAATACTTGACAATGATAATAAACAACTATGTTGCTGGTTTATGTATTTACTATATATACTTTTTATTGTTATTTTAAAGTATACTCTTTCTACTTATAAAAAAGTTTGCAGTAAAACTGTGTTATGCTGTGTTATGCCGGCAGCAGCCTCATACATCTCATGTTTACTGCATTTGATTGCATTATTTCCTCTTGCGTTTGATTTATTCTCCTGTTATTTTGTATAGTAACACGCTGGACAGGCTGTAGCCTAGGACCAATAGTCTATATCACAAGCCTAGGTGTGCAGCATGCTATACCACCTATGTTTGTGTAAGCGCACTCTATGATCTTTGCGCTATGATAAAATCACCTAATGACACATTTCTCAGAAATTACCCAGTTATTATCAGCGTATGACTACATATATTCTTTGGAGAAATGTCTATTCAGTCCTTTGTCCATTTTTTTCTGTAAGGTATTTTCTCATAGAGAAATTAAATTTTGTCCTTACAGTTAAAAAGAAACCAGTTGGAGCCGAAACCGGTTTGGCTCAGTGGATAGAGCGTCGGCCTGCGGACTGAAAGGTCCCGGGTTCGATTCCGGTCAAGGGCATGTACCTGGGTTGTGGGCACTTCCCCAGTGGGGAATGTGCAGGAGGCAGCTGATCAATGTTTCTCTCTCATCGATGTTTCTAACTCTGTATCTCTCTCTCTTCCTCTCTGTAAAAAATCAATTAAAAAAAAAAAAAGAAAAGAAACCAGTTGGAATTGTGTATTTAACCATGAAGCCAATAAGCATTACATAAAGCACATAGCCTTCAAAGCCTTTGTAGATATTCTTTTGTGTGCTTTGTTTTGAATGTTGAAATTTTCTTATGAAGTACAAAATTTCAGATTATTTTTACTACAAAGCTTTCTCTTCAAATTGTTATATTGTTTATGGTCAAATTTAATTATCATTTGAATATCATTTGGAAAGCTAATGTTATGTTGTAAGTAGTTGCTTACAATCAATGACTTAGAGTGCTTGTAAAAGCCCTTAAACATTTATTATGATTGAAAATCAAGTTGTTCTTTTGTTTTCTTTTAAAAATATTTTACACTTTAATTTAATAACTAAAATCAAAACAAAACAAAAACACCTCCCACTCTCTACCTCTTGCAACCACCAATCTGTTCTCTTTATCTATAAACTCGGATTTTGTTGTTGCTGTTTTTTTATTTTTAGGTTCCACATATAAGAGACATCATATGGTATTTGTCTTTGTCTAATTTATAACTTAGCATAATACACTCAGGGTTCATCCATGTTGTTACAAGTGGCATGATTTTATTCTTTTATGGTGGAATAATATTCCCTTATATATGTAACACAATTCTTTTACCCATTCATCCATTGGTTAACACTTAAGTTGTTTTCACACATTGGCTATTGTAAATAAATGCTGCAATAAACATAGGAGTGCACATATATTTTTGAATTAATGTTTTCATTTCCTTTGAATAAATACCCAGAAGTGGAATTGCTGGACCATATGGTAGTTTGATTTTTAATTTTTGAGGAAAGTCCATTCAGCAGTCCCACCACCAGTGTACAAGGGTTGGTTCCCTTTCCTCCACATCCTTGTCAACACTTGTTATTTCTTGTCCTTTGATAACAGCAATTTTAACAGGCGTGAGGTGATATTTCATTGTGGTTTTGATTGGCATTTACCTGATGATTAATGATATTGAGCATTTTTTCATGTACCTATGTGTCTTCTTTGAAAAAAATGTCTATGCAGATCTTCTGCCCATTTGTAATTAGATTTTTTTTGTTATTGAGTTATATACATTCTCTATATATTTTGGATATTTGACGCTTACCAGATATATATTTGATAATTATATTCTTTCATTCAGTGGGCTGTCTTTTCAGTTTGTTGATGGTTTCCTTTGCTGTATAAAAGCTTTTAATTTTGATGTAGTCCTGTTCCACTTGTTTATTTTTGCTTTTGTTGCTTTTGCTTTTGGTGTCAGGTTTTTAAAATCATTGCCAAGAACTATTTCAAGGACCTTACCACCTATATTTTCTTATAGGAGTTTTATGGTTTCGGGTCTTACATTCTTTAATCCATTTTGAGTTAATTTTTGTGACTGGTATAAAATAGTGGCCCAGTTTCGTTCTTTCACATGTGGCTGTCCAATTTTCCCAATGCCATTTATTGAAGAGACTAACCTTTCTCCATGGTATATTCTTGGCTCCTTCATTATAAATTAATTAATCATATATGTGTGGGTTTATTTCTGGGCTCCATAGTCTGTTCCATTGAAATATGTGTCTATTTTTATGTCTGTTTTAATTACTATAGCTTTGTAATATAGTTTGAAATCAGGGAGCATGATGCCTCCAGCTTTATTTTTCTTTCTCAAGATTGTTTTGGCACTTTGTCCATTTTTAATTTGGGCTGTTTTGTTGTTGTTGAGTTATGAGTTATTTATATATTCTAGATACAAGGCCCTTACCAGGTAAATAATTTGGATATTTTCTACCAGTGTGTGGCTTGTTTCTTTCCATTCTCTAGCAGGATCTTTTGAAAAGCAGAAGCTTATAATTTTCACTTCTTAATAATGCAAAAGCTTTTATTTTTGATAGTCTCATTTATTTTTTCTTTTGTTGTTTGTTCTTGTGGTGTCATATCTAAGAAGCCATTGTGCCTAATTCAGTCATGAAAGACTACTTTTGTGTTTTCTCTAAAGGTTTAATAGTTTTAGCTTTTAAATTAAGATTTGTGATTCATTTCAAGTTAATTTGTATATGGTATAAAAATTTTAAATCTCTTAGAGCATAGTAGTTTTAGACTGTTTTTTACTAGAG